GTGTGTGTGTGTGTGTGTGGGGTGTGAGAGACAGGCTGCTCATGGCTGTGTGTGTGTGCAGGTGGAGACGCTGGAAGCTCAGCACCGTGAGCTGCTGCAGACCCAGCTGGCTGCCCTGCGGAAGGAAGTCCTGCGGGGGGCGTCGGCCCTGCCCGCCAGCGGCGACGGGGCCACTCTGCAGCTCAGCCTGCCCCAGGACGGCGAGGGCGAGGGCGAGGGGGTCATTTCCTTCCTGGGCTCGCCGCAGGGCGGCGGGCAGGAGGGCGAGGAGGGGGCGCTGGCCGGGCTGGAGATCGTGGAGGTCCAGCTGGAGCCGGAGACGCACCTGGCCAAGATGGACAGCCCCCCCCCCACCGTGGCCTCCCTCTACCCTGTGGATGTGTTACAGGACCAACAGGGGGCGCTCTCACCGGGGAAGCGGTCCCCCGAGGAGCAGCCGGAGGATTCGGGTGAAACCAAACGGCAGCGGACCACCTGAGGTGGACAGGCCCGCCCCATTCCTCCAGTTCCCACAGACCTGCCGCTGCAGGCCCGGTGCCCCCTGGCGGGGCACCCTGGCGCCTCAGGCAGGGGAGACTGAACTGTTGATGCAGGACCTGACCTGCACCTGTGAATTCCCACCTCTGGCTGTTCCCAGATGCCCACGTCTTGAAAGCAGCAGCTGCTTTACTGCAAGACAGGAGATGGGAGCAGTGTTTCTTACAACATTCACACAACTGGGCTTCGACCTGGACTGTCACAGTTCACAGAGGATTAAAGATCATATCTGAAGCAGAACTGTGGTTATTTATTTTACTGTACTGTATTTTATTTTTAACATTTTTAAATAGAAGGCATTGTGGAGATGATCTTTCATACCTTGTGCTAAACTCTTCCTCATCACTGACCCATTAATAAATAGAATCAGTAAAGAAGGATAAACTGCCACTGATCCAGGTTAGTGTTTTAGAAGAAGATGCACTATTTTAAATGTGTAGCAGTTCAAAAACTCTTTGCAGAAAATGATAAAAAGCTGATTTGAATATGTATGGCAGAAGAGAGACTCAAGGAATGTTCCTTGCTGTCAGCTTTTCAGTGCCACAAGCTCACTGTGATTACATTCAGGCTATTCACCGAGAGTAACGTGCTTTGTAACATGCTGTGGGCTGATACCCACTGCCGTCTAGGATGGGATAAAATGAGCAGATTCTGCATTTAACGTGAAATGGGAGTCTAGCTGTTCAAAGACTGCTGAGGAAGAAGGCCTCGGTCTGCTGTGCCAGCAAGCTGCTTTGATTGCACCCAGCCTGGGGTTTGTCCCTGTCACGGGAGTGTCCATCTGGTGTCGAGTTAAGCCAAAGGATAAAATGATCAATTCATTCTGCATCCTTTAACCAGATATTCTTGTCATCTTACCCATGTTCAGTAGGACAGTGTAGTTCTTTTTAAAATGTACTGTATTCCTATTGATCATAATACCTACAGTACTGTTTCCAACAGAGTATGAACGTTTCTGTAAAATGTTTTCAAATGTGTAAAATTGATGGGTGGAGTTGCAGCCTTATCAAGCTTTCCTGTGAGGACACTGCCTTCTGAATTACTTCCATAGTCTTATTATTAAAAAGGAAACTGTGTACGTCTTAGCCTTAATCTGAAGATGATTTTTGCCCTTGGGTGTTGCAGGTCAGCAATGGTAGAGACTGGTAGTGACTGAGAGGCCTGTGATGTTGGATACATAAGAACGTTGTGTAATATATCACACATGTGCGCTGCTAATTTACTTCCTCATGTTATTTCATTGCTCACTCAGCAGGATTGTTTTTTCTGCCTTTATAGTACTAGTCAGCAATGAAAATAACGTTGAAGTATCTCAACACGGCTCCCGTTGGAACAAAGTAGGAGCTGGATTTTAGTGCCTGGCTGTTGCCAGCTCTCTGCTTTCTCGTTTCGCACAAAAGCTCGCCCAGGCCGCCGGAGGCAGACGTGCTGGGCGTGGGTTCTGTCACAGGAGCACTGAACAAAGCCCTTCTGTTGTTGGCGATAAGAATTGTAACAGCCACTGCAGTGAAAGACTGATGAGGGTGGGTGTTTACCTTCGGAAATGTAACAGACATTCATAAATAAGCCTTAAGAAGTTTTTGTCATCGTTTGTAAATAACAATAAAGCACCGAGATGAAGATGCCAATGTTTCAGCGTAGTAGCTACTTGCAGGTTGTTGGAAGAACACTTGATTTCTGGCAGGGCCCTGGTGTGGTTTTGAAATATCTCTTTAGCTGTTCATGATAGAAGACTTTTTGAAATCATGACTTCCAGGACATTTCATGCCAAGTTCTCAAGCCTAGCGTTTTTACTCAATTTATTAAATCAAATGTTACATAAATTGTACTGCAACTTATGAAACCACTCCTGCCATTACTGGAATTGCAAGTTCTTATTTGCTAGTCTGATTAAAAGTAATTTTGAATTAGTGGTGGCCATTTGTAAAGACAGGATAAAGATTAATAAAAATTAATCTCCTGTGATCTGAGTGTTGTAGAAATATGCTTAGATAAGAAAATGATCATAATTCACCTTTGGGGGGATAAAATAGTATTCCATATAATGACCATATTAAACCACTGAAAAAAATACAGAAACCTAAATTTGTATAAAAATATTAAATGTATATTTTTAAATTGTTGTGCTGTCAATTTACACCGTAGGTCACAAAATGTGATACGTTATGCGGCTCCTCGTTCTTTTGACTTCTTTTTAAATTATTTTTTTTAAATACTTTGAAATCTCCCAGTTAGATTTCAACAATTAAAATGCGCTATTTGGCAAATATATGAGTCAGAAATTGAATTTAGCCATTGACAGCTAGTATTGATGGGGACGTTCAGGCTGAGGGCATTACTCTTATTCAGGGAACGATTTTTTACTTGCCAATATATACCCAAAGGTAAAAAAAAGCTCTGTGTTGAAATACCCTACTCTCATATGTGTACATCTCGATTCTTCCCCTGACTGCACGGTAGACACAAAGCACTGAGACATGAGAAATGTCAGCCTCAATGAAAGCTTTTAGATGTTTCTATAATTGTTCTGGCAATAGGTTGTTTTGTCAAGTCATACTTGACATATTGAACACTACTGTGATCTGTGATAAAAGTCAGAGAGCATTTGATTTAATTATTTAGCTGATTGCGTTTCTTAACTAGAGACGGAACAATACCTTTCCAGAGGCACGGCTCAGTGATAAATGCAAGTGGACATCACCATGATAGTGATAAACGCGTTACACTAAATTTCTCCATTTAATTTCAACGTCGTGCCTGCTGCTCTTGAAATATAATTACAGTTAGACAAAAGGAATGATTATATCCTGTTTTTATGAGAAATGGAAGTTATATTCGGGGCGAAGTTTATGATAGCTGGCTTTAAAACAAAGCAACACCTGGTGATCCTTTTTTTTTGTTGGCAGCTGAACTAAAATTCGTTTAGTGGAGTTTGACGCCCTCTACTGGACGGATTGGACGTCCAGATTCGGTTTATCGTCTAAAATCAGATGTCCAGATGTTATAATAATAATTACTCACACTTATATAGCGCTTTTCTGGACACTCCACTCAAAGCGCTTTACAGGTAATGGGGATCCCCTCCACCCCCACCAATGTGCAGCCCCACCTGGATGAATTATAGTTATACATTTTTACTTCAAGGTATAAAGGTATGTGTGCGGGTATTTGACGTTGTAGACCACAACCAAAATTGATCTTGAAATCTGTGCAAATGCGACTGATTTATTATGGTAGGATATGCCTCGGAATTATCCATGTTCAAATAATTCTCGTTCTGTCCTTTATCATTAATTAGTCTGAATCTTGTATCCAAAAAATCATCCAGGCGGGGCTGCACACTGGTGGTGGTGGAGGGGATCCCCATTACCTGTAAAGCGCTTTGAGTGGAGTGTCCAAAAAAGCGCTATATAAGTGTAAGCAATTAT